TCCAGAGTCAGATGAACAATATACGTCCAACAGGGTAGCAAATCAAACTTGATTCTAATTATGAAATCGTAATTGCAGAACCGCCGCCAAAAGGACTCTCAGAGCGAGCTCTAAGAAACTGATGGCGCGTTAGCAATTTGACAAAAGATCAAATATGAGTAGCTGTGGGCTTTCGCTCGATGTCTTGGCCTTTCCTGGCGCAAAGTATCGCGCTCTCCTGACGGAGTTCCGGTTACAAGATCGCTTGAACGGGGAGCCTGTTGTTCACTGGCTACTAAACGACCCAGCGACCAAGTACCCGAATGGCAAACACCCGCTTGACCAGTCAAGTATTAAGAATCTGTTGGCCCTTTAACAGCGAAAATTGTTCCTTATCAGAGAGTTGTGACTAGCTCGACTTCGAAGACTGTTCTGCTCCGAGACGGGTTTCGCTCGGCCTTTTATACTCGCAGGTTCGTTGAATTTTGAAGTTCTGTGACGTCAGAATATCTAGATTTTCATATAATTTCGTTATTATATATTAATTTTACTTTTGAACGGTTCAACTATGTTTCAAATATTGCTCTTTAATTTCTGACTAACAATTTGATATTAAAATAATAGTATAACGAGAAATGTATTTTCTATCCTTTTATAATCAATTGCGCACGAGTTCTACGGGAGTCAAATTTATTCCGATTTATGATTTTCTTTATCGAAGGAAATAATTCTGTTTTCGATTATTAGTAATTTGGTATTAATTGGTTTTTTATATATATAAATTAAGTTAGTTAATTTAATTAATTTGATATCTGATAATCGTCGTAGATAGAAGTAGGAGATAGAGAGTAGTATCTCTGTCCTTTTCTAGGATCAACGCCGGTCTCAAGGATTTCGGCCGAGTATCGCGGCGCGTAATCACATCATAGCATAACGGAAATTCTTATACGAACTATTTATTAGAAAAATAAAAGGAAATAATACATTATCTTGTTTTAACTGTTATAACTTAATATTCAAATACTTTTATAGCAAATAGTACCTATCCTAAATCAAGATTGCAGGTTAATTAACATAAATGAAAATATATATATATATATATATTGATTATCGATCGTCGAGTCGAATAGGATCTATAGTCGATACGTAATCTATTGTCGGTAATTGATCCCTGCTCGGCGTGCCATATTTATCGTAACGCGTGTTGTCGTCAACTAATACGGGATCTATTGTGACGCGATCAATTATAGTGCGATTAATTATGGCGTGATCGATCGTGGCGTCGCTGATTGTCGCAGCATTATTGAAGGTTATCGTAATAGCGCGTATTAATTATGGCGTAATTTAGAATTTACTATCATTTTCACTTGTTTTGCTTTCTTAACTTAGCCCTATGGGTAGTATTAATCATTTACCAGAAAGTGTTCAGTTGTAAATTTATTTATTATGTATATAGATTTTAGGATATGTATATTTTTAGTTGATTTTTTTCTATATTTGGGCTTGGTAGAATCGGACGTTTTCCAGTTCTATTATGGGGTAGTTCCCATCCGAATTCAGGAGGACCCCTGCGTTGAAGGCCTCCTCCTCGTCGCTGTCCATCTGTGATATTCTGTTTCGGCAGGTGGTGCAGGCCATCGCGGGCAGCATAACTGAAAATCTTATTTTACAGCGCATACACCGGGCCTTCTGGGTAGCTGATTCGCGTTTTATGAAGTGGTGGTTTCCTATATGCGAATATATGTATGAACATATTTTATTCTAGATGTCATTATTAGGACATAATGAATTATGCTTGCCTGCGCTCCACCATTCCTTTTTTGCATCGGGATGCGCGTTTCTCACGCAGCTCCCACATAATCGCCCCACGTCCTGGCTGAATTTGTAGGAGAAGGCGATTCTCCTATCCTTTACACAAATCGCTGATTGTATGTAGTTGGTCGTTGAAGCCTCCATTTTTCTCTTTTCCTTCAAAGGGTAGGTTCCGCGTGCTATCACTTTGAAATCACTTTCTGGAATGATGTCACGTAGCTTCGCCACACCCTTACGCACGTATTCATCTCTCTATCGATTCGCGATCATTCATTTGTAAATAGGCCCGTTTAATTCGATCCTTATGTACGATTCGCCTTTTGTTCCTTCGGTCTATTTGTAGTTCCACGTTATTGTCTCCTATGATACGTGTGATCTTGTATGGGCCTGAGTATTCCTTCTTAAGTTTATTCTTCCGTGCCGGATTAAGAAGGAATACGTCATCACCTGTCTCGTAATGAATCGGTCGGATCTTCTTGTCGTAATAGTATTTCTGTCGGTGTTTCGCTTGTTCGAGATTATTCCGTGCGGTTTTACGAAAATTGTGTAGTTTTGTTATAAGGTCGTCGACGTAGTCCGGATAAGTGCATACTGCATCTTCCGTTGGAAAATTGGATGGTTGTCGTGCCCTTTTCCCGAATATTAACTCGTGAGGAGTAAATCTGTGCCTTCGTGGAGACTGGTGTTGTAAGAAAACATCGCCTGAGGTAGCCATTCGTCCCATTGTTTTTCTGTCGTGAGGAAATGTTTTAGATATTCAATTAATACTTGGTGGCTTCTTTCTAGGGATCCATTTGTTTGCGGGTGAAATGATGATGTCCTGTATGTTCGTATGTGGAATATTTTCGCTAATCTTTTCATTAAGGAGCTCATGAAGCATGCCCCTTGGTCAGTCAAGATCGCCTTTGGGCAGCCGAATGTACAAATAAAGTGCTTAGTGAACGCTTTCGCTACGTCTTCTGCGGTCATCGAGGCGATGGGTGCTGCTACTGAATATTTAGTCAAATTGTCTTGGATGGTCAATATATAGCTGTATCCTCTTGAGGTTAAAGGTAAGGGTCCTAATATATCCAACGAGATTTTATCGAATGCATCTAGGGGACTGTCCGTAATTACCATAGGTTCTTTATTCTTTACGCGAACTAATTTGTTTCTCTGACAGTCTATACAGGTTTTTACAAAATCGGCTATCTCTCTCTTCATATTCTTCCAATAATAATTCTCTCTGACGCGATGGTAAGTTTTTCATATTCCCTTATGCCCCCCGGTGGGTGTTATATGATTTTCTTGAATTATAGGGATTCTTTCCCCGAACGATGGAGTCTTAATATCCCCGGTGCAAATGGTGATACGTATAGGCATGTCAGCAAAAGTTAAGTGTATTAATTTTTTAAGATTTCTGTTATCTGGTAAGCTAAGGTCACTAATTTTATTCTTTTGGAGGAGTAACGCGAGTTTCTTAAGAATCTGAGGTAATTCCTTTTTTGATATAATAGTTACGCCGAATATCCATTGCTTTCTTAATTTAAGTTGAATTATTTCTTTTTCAGGTGCTGGTTTGATTTTCTTCCTCTTGATGAATAACTCTGATTTAGAATCCAGAGGGATCCCTTGGGAGTCCCAAAATACTGCTATTGGTCCCTTTCTCGTCCAAAGATGATCCTTTACTTCAATTACCGAGCTTATTATTTCTTCGGTTATTCTCGGGATATTCTGATTAATTTATCTTGAAGGATATTTGTAAGACGAGATGTAGGAGTTTCGTGAGAGGATGTTATGGCTAGGTGTCGATAAGAGTATCATGATTAATTTGGTTTAGAGGATGTTTATGAGTCTGATTATCGGGAGGATGTTTATAGGATTGAGTTCGAGGAAAGGATTTATCTTGTGAGAAAGGAATGTCGAGCGGTTCCTACGCTACTTGATTACATATTGGTCCCTAACTCTATATGATAACGTATGGTTAAACATCGCATATAAATGGAATATAATATGTTCTAAAACTAAAGTTAAACATGGAGTGAGTAGTATCTTACGGTTATGGTTACATATGCGTCTTATACTCTATGGTTACATATGTGTCTTATATTCTATGGTTACATATATGTCTTATATTTTATGTAGATCTATCGGATATTAATTTGGTCATATACCAAGCGTATTTAATCATATCTTTAAAAATAACCTCCCCCCCTAGGAAAAGTCAATTTTTATGGAGGAAAAATTGGCTTCCCTGGTATTTCTCGCATTCGTAGAGTTTGTTGGGGCTTTTGGGATTTCACTTCACTCGAGTCTGTATGTCTCTTTTAAAGGAGGGGTAAAGGGGAGCACTTGTCACTTATTTTACACTGGGAATTTGGTACGACGATAGCTTCTTCTGGCCGTATATTTCAGGGTGCCATCTCCGCCAGTTGCTGATCCTGGCTGTTCGGGCAGTTGGGGTTGCTGATCCTGGCTGTTCGAGCAGTCGAAGTGGCTGTTGTTTGCTGCTAGTTTTCCACGGCCAACAAATTCGTCTAATGTCTATTCCCTGCATGCGCCGGCCTGGCTTCTTACTGGGTTGTTTGCCTCTGGTCTTCCCTGGTGGTGGGAAGAAGTGGTCCCTCCGGAAACAGACTTC